TGTTATTGTGTACAAAGTCCTCTTGGTTCTGCTCACTTCATTCAGCATCAGTCCATATAAGTCTTTCTAGGTTTTTTCGAAGTCTGCCTGTTCATCATTTCTTGTAGCACAGTAGTATTCCATTACATTCATATACCACAACTTGCTCAGCCACTCCCCAATCGATGGGCATCACCTCAATTTCCTATTCTTTGCCACCACAAAAAGAGCTGTTATGAATGTTTTTGTATATGTGGGTCCTTTTCCCATTTGTTTGATCTCTTTGGGATATAGCCCTAGAAGTGCTGTTGCTGGGTCAAAGGGTATGCACATTTTTGTAGCCCTTTGGGCATAGTTCCAAATTGTTCTCCAAAATGGTTGGATCATTTCACAACTGCACCAACAATGCATTAGGGTTCCAATTTTCCCACATCTCCTCCAACATTCATCATTTTCCTGTTTTGTCATGTTGGCCAATCTGATAGGTGTGATGTGGTACCTCAGAGTTGTTTTGATTTGCATCAAATGTGTAACTGTAAAGCACGTCATACGTGCAGAATTTTAAACCAAAAATATGAAACATAGTTTCATAGGAGTCTGTGTAGAATCTCTTGCGACTTAGTTCTCAGCTCTTAATTATTGTGACTAGAAAGCCCAGGTTCAAAAAAATCAGTTGCTGAGTCTAGGAGAGATGGTCGTGGCTGGCCTATTCAAGTGGGGGAAGGACTGGAGGGGTATTAATCAGCAAACCCAGTGTGATACAGCACCCCCCGAAAGCAATTCATCGTTTTAGCTAGTGGTATTCTAGTTCCTCAGTCCTCTGGAGTGCTCTGCTCTGGTCTGTCTTCTTGTTGGAGAGCCTTTGATAAGGCATTCTATACAAGTTATGTTTTATAAAGACTGGTTCAAGGACCCAGCTGGGGGTGAGGTAGCTTAGGAAAGACTTAAGAGCTGCCTTCGGGTAGTTAAAGGGTCACTGCCCTCTAGGTAAGACAGAATAGAGGTCCTACATAGCAGCAGAGGACAACAGTAGGGACCGTGAGTGGGAGTTGGGCAGATAGATGTCAGCTCCGTCTGTAGAAGAAGCTTTCACACATTGAAGGCGCCTCCTCAGAAGCAGGCGGGTTTGCTCTTGCCTTTGGCCCGGGAGCTCTCCAAGCAGAATTCAGTACTCGATGTATGTTTGTTGGGCATGTGGAGAGGGGATCTCTGTTGCATCTAGAGGGGCTTCTGCATCTCAGGAGTCTACTTGTCCCTTCTCCTAGGTGTGCAGTGTCTCCTGCTTGGGAAGAGAAATCTTGATGCATGCAGCCTCTTGGTGGCTGAGGAGTTGGAAAGTTTAGGAATACTGTATTCTGTACATGGCTGAAACACAAAATGAGAAAGTCAATGAAAATGTTTTCCAGGAGCAGCAAAAGTTCCTTGAAGAGGTAGCTCTTAGCAAGACATAGTTACCTTGGCTGCCCATTTCTTTTTTTTTTCCCCAGGCAATTAGGGTTAAGTGACTTGCCCAGGGTCACACAGCTAGCAAGTGTCAAGTGTTTGGTCTGAGGCCGGATTTGCTCTATCCACTGGGCCACCTAGCTGCCTTCTTTGCTGCCCATTTCCAAGTGCACGTGTAATTATGGTCGAGCAGTTCATTACTCAGTTGTCAGTGTGGTAATAGATAGGGCTTCTCCTTTCCTCACAGCCTTGTTTCTTTGGCACCTTTGACCCACTAAGTGAAATTTGAATTTGAACGAGGATCATGTGTATCTCAGAAATTGGAGCCAATTGAGTGAATTCTAGAACTAGAATCTTTTTTTTTTTTTAGGAGAAAAGCTCTGGGGAATAAAACCTTGTACTTTTTCTACATTTCTTGCTAAACTCCCAGGCACTGATGAATTGTTGCAATACACTCAAAAGTTGTATTGATTTTATTTGTATTAAAACTGATTCTGTTGATTCCGTTTTGAAACATAAATGTCCCCCCTAAAAAAAAAAAAGATACATTTTGTACCTTCCATTCAGATGACTATCCCCCCCCTAAATTAATAGATGTTAGGCATCTTGTTTTTTAAGGGCTGAATGACACAAGTTCAGTTTTTAGAAATTGAAGGATCTTGTGTCTGGACTTTCATTGGCAGAGAAATCTCTTTGGGGATTTTCCAAATGTGACTGAGTTACTAGATCTAAAGGTAATAGTACTATTTCATAACATTGTGATGTTCCAATTTAAGGCTTCAGAGTTAGTAAAACACACTTCTTTCTATAAGCACAGATTGCTAACCTTTGACTGCCCCTGAACAACTCCTTATTTGGTGAAGGCCTTATGATATATAGTGGTGAGGCAGTTGGGGCTTTAAATAGTTTTTGGCCCTTCAAATAAGGGCAGCATGATTTCGGGAAAGGGCCAGAACTTCATCTTGGTAGTCTTGAGCACCCAAGGTTCATGTTGCAGTGAAAGAGATATTATATTATAACAAGCAGTGCTGTGCTCAGTGATCTGTGTGCTGTCCAGACCTACACAGTCAATGATCCAGTAATGTAATTCCTAAGTGTTATGAATACACTGCAGTGAATTTGTCAAATTAAAAGCAACTTTGAGTATGAGTTTAAGCAATATTTTGTGCCTGAATAAACTTGTTTATTCTTCTTTAACAAAGTTGTTAAATGGTATTGTTTAACAAAGGGTTGCTTTACTAGTAAATTTCATTTGTCAGTCACGAATAATGCCATTTTCATGGCTTGGCTGTTAACTTTCATTGCCTTCTGCCCCTCCTCATCCCCAAATATGGCACAGGTTTTCTTAGTGGTAGGAATCAGACTGTATAAACATTGCATCCCACAGGATTCAAGTTGGAGAGCCAGTGGAGGTTGGAGTGAATTGGTAGGGTGGGACCAGGTGATCTTTACAGACTCTTCAGCCACAAAGTGAGGCGTTGGGGTGTTACTTTGAAGATTACAGAGTCATTAAAGGGATTTGAACAGGGGAGCAACATAGCAAAGATAATGGCGGCAGTTTAATTTTGGGATACTCGGCCAGATTGGAAGGTGGAGAGCCTAGGAGGCTGTCCAGAGATAGGAATCAAAAGGAAGGCAGGAGACAGGTTTGCCCAGTGAAGTAGCAAGGCTGCTGCTGGACGTAAGGGAGAAAAACCAAACGCTGTTCTGTGCTTTCTGACGCTCTGAAGGAGCCATCCGATCCAGTTTTGGTTTGTCCAAGTGTGGCCTGGGAGTGGTGGGATGGTGGCAAAGGTGGGGAGGGAGTTTGACGTTCTGAGGATTTCCCCGCACAGGGAGGTATGGGCGTTCTCCCTGGTGGTGGGAGATTCAGCTTGAAACAAGCAGCCCCATCCATCTTTGCATCCTGGTGTTGCTCTGTCCCTTAAATCATGTCAAGGAAGAGCATCCTTAATACATGTTTTTATTCATATCGCTTGAACCAAGTCTGATGACAGCACCAAGGCTTCCTTAATGCCGGACTGGAGAATCGAGGCCGGTATAATGAAAAGTAACTGGGCTTGGGTCACAGGAGCTGGGTTCGAATGTAGGAGTTTTTTTTAGTACTATACTGTGTGGGCTTGGTCAAATCGTTTAACTCCTGGGCTTTGGGTTTCCCTTCTATAAGATGAGAGGGGGATAAGGCCCTTTTTTAATCTAATTTTTACCTGTATCTGTAAGATAGCATGTAGTTTAAAGTAGGCACTGTAATGAGATCTTAGCAAATTTAGTTTTCCAAGCTTGGATTTGTCATCTTAAAGAATTATAACTAGTTTGATGTTCTGTTTCCGTAATTTCTAGCAAATTAATGGCTTTCTATATGCCAGAAGTTAGTTTAATATGGCTTGGTAGAACTTGGATTTTAAGGTAGGGTTGCCTAATGGAAAGAGCACGGCCCAAGGGCAGAGGACTCAGATTCTGCTCTCATTGACTTTGTGCTTTTGCATAGGCCACTAGCTCTTCTGTGCCCTGTCTTCATCTGGAGATACCTGCCTGCCTCACACAGGTGTGATGAGGGTGGCATGGTTAGACATTTCAGCTGTTGTCATTCAGGGATAATGCCGTTTGGGGGCAGTATTCCGCACAGGTCCTCCTCCCCCTAATGTATGGCCACAGGCTCAGGGTGAAAAGAGGTACCTATGGAGGTGAGGTTCCAAGTAGTTAGCCTGGGGAATTGTGGGCAGTAAGATTGACTCTGAAGGGTGTGGCCAAATTGCTTTTTGGAGCTCCTTCTACCCATAGAGCAGAAGAGTTTGTGCATTATTCTGAAGGAGGATAGCCCAAAACAGAAAACTTTGTGCTATGTAAATGTTAGGTGATGTTATCAAAACTGATTCACAAAATTTTGTAAATTGATTGAAAGCATAAAGGAAAAAAAACAGCTTGGTTCTGATTCAGAATAAAAGAGTGGTATGGGGGGTTATTAGGTGCTAGTAAAACCTGGTGTAGTGAATGAGGCCAGAGATCCAAGCCAGCTTCATGTTGGGTACTAGGTAGGGGGTGTGTGTGTGTGTGTGTGATTAACTCACTTATTGGAATATTAAAATATCAGTATGGAGAGATAGAAGATGACTTGAGGGAACTGTAGGCTTAATTTGGATCTAAATTTGCTTCATCATCTTTGCCCCAGAATTCAGTTTTTGCATGTGTTGCTCTTTGGAGCTTTAACTGGGTGAAAGTATCATTTCTCCCCCACCCCCACCCCCCCATGGGGAGAAGTCTGGGTTTTTAATCAGCATTAGACTTCTGATCCAGCATCCAAAGGTGGAAATGATGGGAGGTCCAGAGAGCCTACTTGATTTAGGCCTCTTGTTAGAAGGCCAGATTTTGATAGAGGGTTCCGGTGATGTGGTATTTTGAGGTTCTGTGCCCGTTTTCATGCGTCTCACCCCTCTCTTCCTCCTCTCCCTTTGTTCCTCTGTGCAGATTCTCTCCGTTACGTGGCTATCTTCTTTGAATTTGAACAACAGCTTAGAAAGGCTGGAAGCCCTATTAATATCACCTTTACTCTAATGTCTTTTTTGTCTTTCTAAACCCAGGTGACAGAACTGAATGAGCCGCTGTCCAACGAAGAAAGAAACCTCCTCTCTGTGGCATACAAGAATGTGGTGGGGGCTCGGCGTTCCTCCTGGCGGGTCATCAGCAGCATCGAGCAGAAGACGTCTGCCGATGGCAATGAGAAGAAGATAGAGATGGTGCGCGCCTACCGCGAGAAGATCGAGAAGGAACTGGAAGCGGTCTGCCAGGACGTCTTAAGCCTGCTGGACAACTACTTAATCAAGAATTGCAGCGAGACCCAGTATGAGAGCAAAGTCTTCTACCTGAAGATGAAGGGGGACTACTACCGCTACCTGGCTGAAGTGGCCACGGGAGAGAAGAGGGCGACGGTGGTGGAGTCCTCGGAGAAGGCCTACAGCGAAGCCCCACGAGATCAGCAAGGAGCACATGCAGCCCACTCACCCCATCAGGCTGGGCCTGGCTCTCAACTACTCCGTTTTCTACTACGAGATCCAGAATGCTCCAGAACAGGCCTGCCACCTGGCCAAGACCGCCTTTGATGACGCCATCGCCGAGCTGGACACCCTCAACGAGGACTCCTACAAGGACTCGACTCTCATCATGCAGCTCCTCCGGGACAACCTAACGCTCTGGACCAGTGACCAGCAGGACGACGATGGCGGAGAAGGCAACAACTAAGACCCCGGGTGGACTGGCAGCCGCACGCTGATGCTACTATTGCAGTCTTTATTTTTTTTCCCACAAGTTGGGGGGGGTCGGGTGGGGGAGGGGAAGGGAGGGGGTGACCTTCCCCGGGGAGGAACCCACGGCCTATCTTTGATTGCCTCTTTGACATTTTTGCCAAAATACCACTAGTGGAAAGTTGGGCTGGCTGTGCTGGTGTGGAGTGGCAGCCTCACACTGGCATACGGACTGTTCTGTAGATTAATCCGAGTGGAGCTGTCTTTGATTTAACTTATTGCTAGTGATAGGGTTTAAGACGAAAAAACAGCTTGAATGGATTGGCCCTCATTTGAATAAGTTCTGTGGTTCCAGTAAGAATCCTGTTTTTTGTTTGTTTGTTTTGAATGTTTGTGTGCTCGTGTCTTGAGTTGTGGGCACTGTGTGTAGTCCCTGTGTCGTAGTGGTGTATCTTGCAGGGTGCACGCTGCCCGTCCTGGCATCGCTTCAATCCCCTCGGTGTGGCGGCTCATTTAGCCTTAAGACTTGGGCCACGTTAGCTCTTCCGAGACGCCCCTTAGCTTTGCAGTATTGACACTAAGTTACAGTTTACAGTATTCTATGTGACAGCCATACGTGACATCAAGCCATCTCTCGTGTCTCCTCATTTGCTTGGATGTTGGTGTTCTTTTCTTCCCGAGCCCTGCTTTCCACCTTGCGGGCCCACCGACTCGCCCAAGGGGTAGCAGAGCCGCCCTGTCTTGGGGCTCATGGGTAAAGAACAGGTGCTTGGCAAGTGGCGATGGAACTTTGTTCTGTTCTTTTTATTTTCTGCTGTTTACTCCACCAAAAATAGTTAAGACAACTTTAATAGAAGTAGTTTGGGGAGAGGGATTAAACACCACAAAAAAAAAAAAGCAGAGAGAATTCAGGTCTGTGTGTCACGTGCCGTGTTGGTGTTTTCCGAGATGACGCCACGGCTTCTTCCTCAGGGATTCCACTGCCAGTCCCCTTTCACACTTGACTCTCTCCCACTGTACCTTTGTCCCACGGCACTCGGTCACCTGTTGGGTTATGTGGAGGCTTGGTGACCACCTGAAGAGGCTGGGGTAGGTAGAGTGAGGGAAACTTCAGGTGCTAGAAGCCCATTTGGTAGAGAAATCCACAATGGAAGAGCAAGGTTCGCATGAACACAGCCCTATGAAATTTAGGGAGCCCTGGAACTGCCTATTCTTTCTTTCTCTTCATCATTGAAAAAAGAGAAACGTCTCCCCTCCCCCTTCTTCCCCACCCAAGTTCTTTTATTTAGGCAGGGAGAAAATAAATTGGACCCAGATCATGACTAGATATCACTTGCTTTTATTTGACTTAACGACTTTTTTTCTTTTCACTTTTCCAGCTTTTAAAAAATTAAAGCGTGGGAAATTGGAGGTTGACTGCCAGTCCCTTCTCATTTATTTAGTCAGTCAGTCACCAAGCATTGATTGAGCGCCTACTGTGTGTCAGGCACTGTGCTGAATGCTGGAGATAGAGCTCTCTTTGATTGGGATAGAAGGAAAACGCAGGGCTCTCGGCACCAGTAATTGGTTTCCAGTAAGCCTTGAGTCCCTTCTCCTTTTGGAGAAGCCAGTCTATAAACATGATATATCAGTGTTGCTTATATGTTATGTTCAGTGATTTTCTTTTGGTAAAAAATGGCTATAATGTGTCTAAAGTCTTATGGTCACAGATATTTTGGTTTTTGTCCCCTTGTTTAAGCAGAATAAGTAATTAACTGAATGAAAAAAATGGCTGACAAATGTTTCTGCTAAATTTTTATACCAAAATTGACTTTATAATCATGAAAACTGGACCCAAATGCCGATGAAGTCAGAAGAAATCGTTCTTCTAACACAGAATAAATGTATTCCCTGTGTAACACCACACAGTCTCCCTGAAAGTGACTCCCTTTAGAAGTTCATCTCTGTGAACTAGAGGGAAAAGTCTGAATTAAATGACCCCCACTGAAAGGACAGATAGGAGAAACCTGGATTCCTGCAGATACTGCCAGCTGATATTTTGAATAGATGCCATGGAGTGGATGAGATGGGGGTGAGGGGGGGGGAGATGGGGTGTGGTTCTATTTTACTTTAAAGTAATTTAAATTCATGTTCAGACGTGAGCAGTGTTGTCCCTACCTGTATGACTTGGAAGTAATTTACTGGAATTACAAAACCTATTTTTTTTTTTTTAACTTCAGCTTTGGCTCTGGCTGCTTTTAGCGAACCCTTCAGACCATGATCACACAGAGGCTGGGACGAGTGGGGGCGGGGATTGGATTCTTAAGCAGCTTCATTGATCTTTCTTCCTCTTTGTTTTTTTTTTCTTTTTTCCTTTTTTTAAGAAATGCACTTGCCTATGATACTGTTTCTCCAGTGAAATGACTGCTCCTCCATTACTCTATCGATACCATATTGTGCATGCTAGTGTTGTATTTCTATACAGTAGCTTGAGATTTATTAACTTATACTGTAGATGTTATGTATTCCTATGACAAAAAAAAATTAAGTCTTCAAAAAATTTTTTAAAGTTTTTTAATTTATTTTTTTCTTTTGGGGGTAAAGTTCGCTCTACCAAATAGTGATCGTAACAAATTGATCTGTTATGGATGTTGCTATAGTGACATGCAATTATATCTTATTTTGTTTCTAAAAAGGAAAACAAAGCAAAAGAAGCACCAGTATTAGCTTAATCTTAATGCCTGGTGTTCGTTGTCACAGTGAAATTCTAACTATCACGGTGTAGGAGAACGATGATTATGTTCTTGGAATGAGCCTTCGTGCTTTTTGTCATGTTATGCAGTGAACTATTTCTAAGGTCTAATCAGTGATTATTTTTCAGCTCCGTGTTTCTGTAAGGAATTATCTCACACACGGACCATTCTTAGCAGTTTTCCTCAGTGATGGAATATCATGAATGTGAGTCATTATGTAGCCGTCGTACATTGAGCAAATAAACTTACAGATCTGATGTCAGTGCGCACTTGTGTGCTGAATTTATTCTGCGTTTTCTACCCAGATCGACACAGGGTGTTGTCCCCAGCATCCAGACACTCTGGATGAGTTGACTCTCTCTCCCTACCCAAACTCACACCCTTCCCACTTCCGGTGTCTCTCTTCATCAGTATGTGGGACAGGCGGGCTCAGCATTTTGGTGGCTTTGAGAGGAGAAGGGGCGTGCTTAGGATGGCCAAGGGCATGTTTCCCCTCTATAAGGATCCCAGGCTGTTGAAGGAGAAGACTTCTCTCCTGACCCTGCCCTCAGCCTAAAGCAAAAATTGTGTGATGAAGAAATTCCATTTAAAAAGTTGAATTTTAATTCTTAGGTCGTAGATTTCAGTCACAGATTGATACTTAATCTGTAATAGAGAAGGGGCCAGAGACTAAAGATGTCCCTGCGGATACTGTTGAAGGGCATTGTTGGTGATTCCTGGAGTGACATGGCTTTCAGAGAATTCATTCTCCAATCTTCCTGTGGGCAGTGAGGACCTCACTGGACAACAGTGGGGTTGGCCCTGTGCTCTTGGACAGACTTGTGTGTTCTCAGCCAAATGAATGAGACGGCACCTTCTCTCCCTGCAACCGTGGCCATTATTGATAGAGGTACCCCCAAGTTCTTTAATGGCAAGGGGACAAACTTGAGCCCAGAAACAGTGACTTAATGAACAGGTGTCCTGAATGGGGTAGTCATTGAGAGAAAACAGGTTTAATAAATACTTTAAAAGTCTGGACTGCAGGTTTGCTCCATTCTGTTTATATTTAATTATCACATTATCACAAGTCATTGTTCAGCTTGATCCTCATTTGAAGTGGCCAGCCTGGAGTGTGTATTGACTCATAACAAAATGTGTCCAAGAATGGCACCGATCTCTGTTGGGCATGCAGTTATTCTCCAGAAGTCCAACAGATAACACCTTCCTAATTACAGACTATCTAGGTTAGCAACAAAATGTGCTATGTGTTCTTGGGACATGGGGAAAGCAATGAAGAAAAGGGACTAGCGGGCCAACCTATAATTTAAAATCAGCCGCACATAATCAGAAGCTGGTTGTATCTAAAAGGTACCTTTCAAGTAAATATTCAGATATCTGCTAAAGCCTCCCAAATAAGCCCAAGTGGTGGTGACATTTAGGCATCCACAACGAATTTCAGCTTTACAGACAAGACAAAGTCAAGAAGGACGGTCTGGTCCAGTCTGGACCTGCTCAGTTGGTTAAGACACTGTGCTAATGAAGCCATGGCCGGGGCCCTATCTGTATGAGCTGGGAAATGTCAACTCTGTTCCTAGGGAAGCTCCTTGAGGGCAGATTGTGGCTCTGTGTCCCTCGAAATGCCTTGCTATTCATAGTGGGCACTCGGTAAGTGTCTGGGTTTGACCAGTGCTTCTACAAATGGGCACTCTTGAACATTAATGGCTGGGTTGAGACCGTATATCAATTAGCACCATCATTAGTGGGGGAGAAACCATGTACATGGCTCTGTACATAAAAGCAATTATAAATGGCAAAATTTAATAAAACTGAAAGTGGGCAGGGGAAATGTGTGGCTCAGAACTTTTTAATGGGATTTTTTTTTCTTTTTGACGGATAAGGGTTCTAAACTGTCTATACCAACCTTTGTCTAGTAATGGTCTTCCTGCCTCCAATTTCCCCCCCAATCTGCAGAATCTCCCAAATGGGGAGAGAAGTCTGACCATGTCAGTCCCAAGACCTTCAGTGGTTTTTCTGTTGTCTACTAGATACAATACAAATTCTCCTGGCCCTCAGAAGAAGCCTTGTCTACCCTGCTCTAATCTACTATGCTATGCACTCTTTATTGCTATCCAGCTGGGATTCTTCATCTTTTTTGTGATGCAGACCCCTTTGGACATCTGGTGAAGTTCATGGACTAGACTTTAGAATGATGTTCTTAAATCCATACGTTTTCAAAGGCAACCAAATATATGGAAGTAGCTATCAGAATAGTAAGTTCACAGACTAGTTTAAAGATTCCCTCTTAGAGGTTCTTACCACACATAAAAGGTATGCCCCCTACCTCATCAGAACCTGTTGAAATCACCCTTCCTCCCTAACCCCATCACCCCATCGGGTTGCAACCATTTCCATCAAGCTTTCCCAGATTCCTCCCCACTACTCTGCAAGCTGAGGGCCCTTCCAATTGATGTAAAACACTTTGGTTCTCTTCTACATCCAGTCTTCGTGAACATTCCATATCTTCCTTAGATTGTCCACAGAGCCAAAACTATGGCAGCCCCAATGCCTTGTACACATAGCCTCACACGTTTGTTGAATTCAGCAAACTGAATGGGTTGTTGGTAGGGCAGGATGAGAGAGTACCCCCATTTTGCAGATAATGAAACTGAATCTGAGAATGTGACCTACCCAAATGGAAGCAGGAAGTACCAGAAGAGGAATGGTTACAGCCTAGGTCTCCACTCCCAGTCTAATGGCCTATCCATTACATCAAACTATATGAATTGTGGAAAGAATTGGGGAAATCAGATATCTTTGCCGTGGATTTCTGGCTCCCGGTGCACATACTTTGGGTAACACCCATTCCCTCTCCCATTTTGCCCATGAATCAGTGTGGGGAAACAAGGCTGCCCTGTAGATGTCCTATCTGCCGATTATTAGCCGTTTGACCTTAGCAAGTCACTTCACTGACACTCCATTTCTCCCATAAAAAGAGGGCCAGACTAGGTGATTTCCAAGAGCCCATGAAGTTTAAGCCCCTCTTTCCCCTCACTGCTGCCCCATCACCACCTCCACCAGAGGCAAGGGGCTTGGAGAAGATGCAGAAGCGTTGCCCACAGTGAGCAGGCCAGGGACGCTCCCTGTGGAGATGAGGATGAAACCAGGCCTCTTAGGGAGCTAACTGTGCCATCTCGATTGGAAACATTTCCCAGTTTGTTTTTCCAAGTAGAAACTCCACAGAAAGTGCTTCTCTGAATCACTTCATTTGTAGCATTTTTTTGAGTCCCGTATGCTTTTGTTCTCATTTGAAGCTTAGGGGCCAGTAGCAATCAGGCAGCGATACCGTCACTGTTTGAGGGTCTCTGCTCACACGACACTGGCCGTAGAGAAGCTGGGCCCAGGATAGAGAGAAGTAGCTTCAGGCTTTTCTCTCCCCCCTTCCACTTGTAGTATCTTTCTGTCTGATGATTTAGCACCTGATTGGAAATTAGGAGAGGCTGGAAGGTAGGAGGCCCACCTTCCTGAGCCCCACAGAAGAGGCCGATGCTACACACTCAGAGTTCTCTCTGCCTGGGCATCAACTCTGAATTAGCAGTAGGAAAACATTTCCTTTGTATGGATTTACTGTGCCCCGCAACCCCATATCTGCATACTGTTACAAGCTACAGAGAACATTCTCTTCATCACGGATTGCACGGCCCTTTACAACACACAGGTATAGCTGCCTTCAGTGCCTGGGTCTGCACAGTGATGGTGGCCTTTGGCATCTGTGCCCCACCTCCTTTCATGATAGCAGCCCTGCAGTGTTCTCTGCTCTGGACTTGGCTCAACTCTTTTATGCTTAATACATTTAAGCTTAACTAGTGGAGTTGCCTGTGGAGAGGATGCAGTGAACTGTTTGTATTGAGATCACTGCTAGGGTTTGACATTTGACTCTGCGTGGACCCTAGGTGTAGAAAATGGATCAATCGGGAAGGATTTATTAAGTACTTCCTATGTGCCAGACACAATCCAAGATTCTGTTCAACAAAAGCATTCAGTTTAACAAACCTTTGTTAAGTCCCTCTGATGGGCAAAAGACTCTAAGCCGTGAAGTTAGACAGGACACCCACCATCTTCCTAGGGAGCTTTGGATCTAATGGGAGAGGGTCCACATAAAAGTACTCAGAAACTGGAGGAGGGAGAGGTCATTTTCATCTAAGGATAACAATCACAGGAGGCTTCATGGTGCCTGAAATGGGTGGGCTTGGATAACCAGAGGTGAAGGAGTCCATTTCAGGGATGAGGGACAGCATGAGCAAAGTTGAGGCGTGTGCCTTACCTTCTGTCTACATGTGTGGGAAGCTCTCTGCTGCTGCCACCAACCTGTCGTTTTGGGTTCTGCCCTACAGCCTGTGTCTGGGAAGCCAGCAGTTCTGAGCCTCTAATGCCATCCTCTGGCAATTGGTATTGATTTGACCCACTTAAAACCAAGTTGTATCGGTACAGGAGCTGAAGCAGGGTCCCTATGGGAGCCCTGATCGGCCAAGAGCAAAATGACCTTTGTGTGTTGGTGGGTGGCTCTTCAGCAGGCAGAGGCCAGAGAATCTTCGCTAAGTTCCCAGGAATATCAAATACAGGTGGGGATCTCCCCAAAAGGGAGCACTGCTGAGTGGCTCTTGAGGACCCCTAATGAAGGACCGATTCTGTTGCCTCAATGGAGGGGGGGGCACTTCCCCCGGAGGGTATGGCACATTCCATCCTGCACACTTCAGTGGCCATAAGCTTTCTTCTTGGACAGGAGGGATCCTGAGGGCAGCAGGATGGGAGCTGGGAGGGGAGAAATGGCATTGAAAACAGGGGTGCAGGGTGGAGGGGAAGCACCCAAAGCACACTCAGCCCTTCCAGCCATGCCCCCAGGGGCATCAGAGGAGGGTGCCTGATGCCCGGGCTCTCCCTAAGGGCTCATTCCACACCTGAGCTAGAAGTAGGGACCTCCAAGGCCCACTAGTCTAACCCCTATCTGAACAGGAACCATGCCTGGCCTCTACTCAAAGACCTGTGAGGGGGATGAGGAGCTCACTACCTCCTGAGGAAGTCGATTCCTCTGCTGTACAACTCTCATCACTAAGAAGCTGTTTTCCCCCCTGAAATCGTGCCCACATCTGCCATTCTCCAATTTCATGGTATCCTAGAGGTCAAGTTGGAAGGGTCATCAAAGGTCATCCAGTCCAACACTTTTACTTTATAGGTGAGGAAACTGAGGCCCCAGATGGTGAAATAACTATAGAGCAAGAGCTGGAAAAGACCCCTTCATTTTAGAGAATGGAGCATGTCCAGGGAGGTCACATGGGGAGTATGCATCAGGGAGGGGATTTGAACCCACAGCCCCTAACCCCAAAGCCAACGCTCTTTCTACAGGGCCATGCCAGTCTACTCTTCGGGGCCAAGCTGATAAATCTAGTACTTCTTCAAATACTAGAAGAATCTGTCAGTCACTCCCTGAGCCTTCTCTTCTCCAGGATAAACATCCACAATCCCTTCAAAAAAGCTACATACGGTACCATTCAGAAGCCCTGTGTGTACAGAAAAGCACACGTTAAAATGGGGTACCCCAATATACCCAATACTCCAGACACAGTCTGACCAGGGAGGAGTTCCTAGCCCTGGACGCTGTGCCTCTTTGAAGATCTCATCTGCTATTTTGGCTGCTAAGTCCCTCTCGACTCATTAAGGCTGTAGTCCATTAACATCCTGGGATCCTTTTCAGAGGACGGGCTGCCTCGATGCGAGCACTGACTGGGTGCTTGGGTTGGAGGGGGGTAGGCCGGACGAGGAAAGAGGCTGGGCCAGGGCTAGGAGTAGCCCCACATTTGGAAAGTCCTTCCTGCCTCAGCAGCCGTCTCCCTCATCCCCCTTGCAAGGCTGGGAGCTTCAGAGGCTGAGCTGGCTAGGACCGCTCTCTCATGCTGCCACCTTCAGAGTGCAAGCCTGAATTGCAGCCTGCAAGTGGAGGAGGGCGGAAACCCAGACAAGTTTAGGACTAGGGAAAGGGGAGGAGAAAGGGAGGAGCCCAGACCAATGTGAGGAAGCTCGCTCCTCCCTAGAACTTAAGAGTTTTAGGGAGCTGCCCACGAGGCTGAGAGGTTCATTCACTTGCCCACAGTAGAACTTGAACTCAGATCTTCTTGACACCAATGTCTTGCCCTCTACCAGACTGTGATGGACATCACCGAGACCAAAGGGGAAGAGCAAAGCGTTCATTTAGGTCTCCAGCCCACCTGCAAGAACAGGGTCATTTGGGCTGCAGAGGGCCTGATGATTTGGGGAAACAGAGGACAGAAAGGAGAGCCAGGAAAAGACATTCATTTATTTGGGTGCCTTCTACAATGTTTAAAAATCAGAACTCCTTGAGTTTTAAAACTGGAGCCCCTGCGTGGGGGCATCTAACAAAGGAGGGCATGGAGGCTGAGATCCAAAGGCCTGAGGTGGAATTCGAACCTGGTCTTCTTGCCTCCTAAAGCGTGACTCTGACCACCTCTGACTACTACTGCCTCTCATAGGTGCTGGAGCTGAAGAGGACCTCAAAGATCACTAGCCCTCAAGCCCTTATTTAACAGAGGTGGAGAAGTGCTCCCCCAGGGAGGGAAAGGGAAATATCTGAGGTCACATGGATAATGAGCAGCAGAGACAGAATTTCAATTTGGGTCCTGAGACTCGGCAACCAGAGCTCTTGTCTACTTCCAATCCTCTGCTTAAAGTAAATCTGAAATGGAAAAATGCCTCATTTAGCACCTAGTCTGATGCCTTCCCATGGATCTGTGGGGCTCTACTGGGGTTGGAACGTTGCCCTATTCAGACTAGCAGAGTCACCGCTGAGTACTCTCTATTCATAGCCTGCCTTCCTGGGCCCCAGTGACTTGTCGTTAGTCGCTGGTCTGTGGCTGTGTTCTGTGCGTGTGTCTGGGGACCAGTGTCCTTGCACGTGTCTTTGTCATGTCTATGTATACAGACCTGTCTTGTACATCTCAGTTTGGGTGAGACTGAGTGTGTCCAGCTCTGGACTGGGAGACAGACTTCTACCTCCTGCTTACAGAGAGACCTTGGCCAAGTCCCTTCCCTCCTGTGAGCTTCCCCCTCTATCAAATGATCTAAATGAGGGACTTTAAGCTCCCTTCCAGCCCCACACCCTGCTTTCGCATCCCTGATGCAGTCTACGTCCCTCACTTTCTCTGGGTCCCCAGCACTTAGCACAGCCCTTGGCCGTGGTAGGCGCTTGAGAAATGCCTCTTGACTTGACTTGTCAATGGGGGATGGTCTGTGTCCGGCTGTGCAGACAGGCTTTATGTTTGAGGGTTCTTGTTCTGCCAGGTGTCGCCCCCACATTCCTCCCTCACTATGCACTCTGCACCCACCCTTCACACTCCCCTGCACTCTGCAGCCACACCCCACTTCCGTCTGCACTTCGTCCCATACCCCAGGTTCCCGCACTCCTAGTTTTCCACGTTTGCCCCCACACTCCAGGTTCCCCCACCTCTTCTCCCGTGCACCCCTGTTCCTCGCACTAATCCCTGCACCCCCAGTTCCCCCTGCATTCCGCCCCCGCACCCCCAGTTTCTTCGCTTTTGTCCCCACACCCCAGGCTGCACGCATTCTGCACCTGCACCCCTTCTCCCGTGCACCCCTGTTCCTCACACTAGTCCCCGCACCCCCAATTCCCCGCGTTTGTCCTTGCATCCCCTCCCCATATGGGCCCCCGGCTCTCTGGTACCCGCCGCACCCCGCCTCCCCCGCTCTTCTGCATCCCCGCATCTCCAAGCCGTTGGTTGGACGGGCCAGACTGCAGCGGCACGCCCCATCCCTTGGGCAAAGGCTCAGCCCACCAATCCCGGGCCAGCACGGCCAGCCAATGGTAGGGTGAAGGCTTCTCGCGCTCCTCCAATGGCCTGCCTGTTGCTAAGGCTGGGGCTTCCTTCTTTCTTAGCCGGGGAGCTGGCTAGTGTCCGCGCCCAGAGCCCTCGTAGGAGAGTGTACGCGCGCATGCGCAAGGGAGGGAGGCCGTAGATCTGCCCCGCTTCTACCAAGAAGCCTTGGGGCGTAGGACTCTGGGTTTATTAATCTGGGATCAATTTTTAATAATCCTAACTCGGGAGGGCTTTTTTCTTTATCTTTTTTTTTAAATTTTGGAGGGGAATATGTGTTAGTGATTGTTAGAAATAGGCTTGACACCAAAAAGTTAGTATCAAGAAAATTTATTATAAAGAAAGTCCAGATGATTTAGACGTTTCTGGCCAGAAGCGGGCTCCACCCCTCTTCAGGAGGGGTGGGCCCTGAGTGCAAGGGCAAGTGTGCTTTTATGCAGTTGAATTCCGCGGGAAACCTCCCAGGCCCCGATTGGTCCAACACTTTTTAGGTTACACCTTTCCTTACATGTTTCCCCTTGATAGGCTCAAGTATGTTCCCCCTCCCTTGGTCATATGTCCCATGACTCGTTAATGAGGCTCTAATTTTATGCGGGGTGTGTCAGATAATAGTAATGAAGTTCGTTAAGCAGGCGCACTAACATTTTTCAGGTGTCCTCAGGTTGACCCTAACTGGTCTGAGCTGGCTCGACCCCTATCTTGATTTTGGGGTCTTCTTGGACCAATCCACTTACTTCCTATTGGTCACAAGCCCAGCCCACCTACAGTGTACCACCTCCTGGGACCTTTGTTCTTTAAATCTCTGCATTATTCTACCTGTGGAAACTTAAGCCCTTCTAACTCTAACAGTGATTATGATGCAAAGTAAAAAAAAAAAAAATCCTTTTTAAAAGTGGAGATGAGGACAGCGAAGGACGAGGACCAGATGTCTGGGTGCCTGAAAATTTGTGTATATGTATGTGTGTATGTATGTATGCACATATGTACACGTATATAATGTATGTACATATATATATATTTTAAAATAAGCCGTATGAAGTGGATTACAGTTGCATATAGTCCTCTTTCTGACCTTTATGTATGGAAATGTTCATGATTTTCTAGTTCCTAATTTTAAAAAAATAGTCCTCCTCCGCAGCCAAGTGCAAGCCAATCTGTTGCTTGTCCGCAAGGTGGTAGATTTGGCCTTTTAGGGTCTTCTCGAAGTCCAACCTTCTACTTAAAAGAGGAAACTGAGGCTCGGGAGGTCAACGGACTTGCTAGTAGTAAGCAGCTGAACCCTGGTCCTGGGACTCCAAATCCACTGTTAATCGCAGCCATGGCTCTGCAACTGGAAAGCGTTAATGTAAGTGTAAGATCGCAGAGATTTAAGCGTTAGTCTTGTGTGTTTCCGAGTTGTAAAGTAGAATATAAACTCCTTGGGATCAGGAACTGTTTCATTTTAGTGTTTGTAGTTGCAGCCCCAAGCAGAATCTTAAGCACTTAAGAAATGTTTGTTGAATTGAAGTACTATTATGAATAATAATATTATAACTTTATATAGTACTTTATAATAATATGACAATAATAGTATACCATTTATGTAGTGCTTTGAGGATTACAGGGCACTTTACAAGTTGTCTCATTTGTAACAGGAGTGGTTGGAGGAGTAGGTCTGGGGAGCCCCTCCCATCATCCAAGTTAACATCTAATTACTATCATGTACTATAATTCCTATCACATTACATCATGTCACGTCAACACAGAAGCCCCATTGTGTCCTTGATGGAGAGTCAGGGCGGGCAGAGTGATGTACTCCCTTCACCAATCCTGCCTTCACAGCTGCTGAATGAATCTCCCTAAAGCACAGGTCTGCCCATGCCAGCCCCTGCTCCAACAGCTCCCTGCTGCCTCTACCTCAAAACACAAAGTCACAATCTGGCTCCAATTTATACCATCTCTGTTCAGATTTCCTTCCATTTACTATGTACATATCTTGAATGTGCTGAGTTATTTATGTCCCCGTCCCCACCAAGAGGGCAGGAACAGTGTTTTTATTTTTCTTTGTATCCTCAGTGCTAGTATACTCCCTGGTGCCTAATTAATGCTTACTCACTGACTGGCCAGCTTATGGCACATTATTCTCCGTTCATTCTCTTTTCCAGCCAAACTGACCTTTTTCCGGTTGCTTGGTCACTTCATTTCAGCTCCTGTTTAGGCAGGGTGTGCTGGTAAATGTTTAACAATCCAGTCACTGAAAAATGTAGCCAAGACACACACTAAGCTTAATCTGAATAACTATCACTTTTCTTAAGCCTAGATAATCAACAAAAACGATAAATGGAGTCCTGATTTTTAGTGCTGGCCAATTTCTAAGATGTAAATGCTTATATTGAAATTTTAGCAATCAAGGCAAAGCCTCTAAGCATAGGTTCTAGTCCTGGCCTCATTGCTAGATCTCTGTGTGACCTTGGGCAAGTCACATCCCCTTAGCTTCTCCAAGGAGAGGGAATTGATTTGTTGAGCTCCCAGGTCCCTGGCTGGGACGGTCTTGAGTCTTGTGATCAATCACTGGTGTTTGCAGAGCACTGCCCTGGGTGGTGAGGAAGAGGCAAAGTCTGGCTCAGACAGGGCCCCAACCTCATAGAGCTCACAGTCTTGGGGGTGGGGTGGGGTAAGATACTAAGACTTCATTATGAATGAAGCCCAGTGTGGTGATCCCAGCTATGCTACAGGGAAGGCTGAGGCTGACCGAACTCCTGTGTTATGGAGTTCTGAGTTACAGTCGGGCTAAAGTTGGCCAATGTCCTCATTAAACGTCAGGCATGCTATGGTGAGCCCATGTGGTAGCTGTCTGGGAAGGGGCAAACTGGCCCAAGTCAGAAGCAGAACTGGTCCTGTACAAATAGAATGGGACCAGGCTGTGAGTGGCTGCTGCCCTTCCAGCTGAGAGGAGATGGGAGACTTAAGAAAAAAAAAGTAAATGCATGAGAGGGGCAAACCATGTGTCATGTGAGGGAGACATTGGAGAGGGGACCATTGGTGGGAGCTTCCTGGAGGAGGAGACATTTGGACTGAACTTTAAAGGATGGCGCAGAAATTCAACTGGGGGACAGAAAGTGGGAGAGGGCATTGTAGGCATAGGAAAAAGCCTGGACAAAAGCACGGACATGGGAAATCAGAGTTCTCTGTGGCTCCAGGATGGGAGAGCTGTCCAGTTTGGCATTGTGGGCCTCAGGACTGCAAAGGCTTCCCCACAGGGAACTGGCCAGAGGCCCAGGATCGTACCTTAATCTCTTCTACATGGAGATGCCAAGCAATGAGCTAATCGATGTGGGCCAAGACTTTGGAGAGCCTGGAATGCCAGGCAGAGGAGGACACACTACCCCGGATTAAGCAGATTATTTCTGAAGGTCGTTCCTGATCCACTGTCAGATAACAGGAATATATTTAGAAGGTGCTTCACAGTGATCAAGAGCTTTACACACTTGAGCCTCAAAACAACTCTGAGAGGGAACTTTTCTGTTTTATAGTGGAAGAAACAGATATCCACAGATATCCAAAGGCACACAATGGAGAAAAGAACCCAGATAGGGCTCCCAGCACCTCCAATGCGTTCTTTCCATTGGACCACACTGCCTCAGAGAGGTGACTTAGTCAACTGATGTTTAAAGGCTGAGGCCAAAGGTTTTAGATAAGAGCTGTCACCTGCTATCCTGGGATAGAGCCAAAAAAAAAAAAAGGAAATTCAACTGGTAAGATTCAATTGAACAGTGCTAGAGTGGCAGAATTTCCCAATACAGCCACTCTAGGGTAGCACACTCCAGGAAAGGATGAAAAGGGCAGTGTGGAAATTAAGCTAAAAGCCAGACATTCCCTGGGGAGCCAAGACAGATTTCATGTACCCTCTAGGCACCTCAGAAATCTGCTGTGTTTAAATGAACAGTTCCAAGGGTGTGTGTGTGTGTGTGTGTGTGTGTGTGTGTGTGTGTGTGTGAAAGAGAGAAAGAGAGAGAGAGAGAGAGAGAGAGAGAGAGAGAGAGAGAGAGAGAGAGAGAGAAAGAGAGAGAGAGGGAGGGAGGGAGGGAGAGAGAATGTGTGGGGGGGGTTTGAGAGTGTGTGACAGAGAATATGTATGTGTGTGTGTGTGTGTGTGTGTGTGTGTGAGAGAGAGAGAGAGAGAGAGGGAGGGAGGGAGAGAGAATGTGTGTGTGGGGGTGTTTGACAGTGTGTGTGAGAGAACATGTGTGGGTGAGTATGTGTGGGTGAAAGAGAGAGAGAGAGAAAGAGAGAGAGGGAGGGAGAGAGAATGTGTGTGTGTGGGTGTGTGGGTGTGGGTGTGTGTGAGAGAGAGAGAGAGAGAGAGAGAGAGAGAGAGAGAAAGAGAGAGGGGAGGGAGGAGGGAGAGAGAGTGTGTGTGGGGGTGTTTGACAGTGTGTGTGTGAGAGAACATGTATGGGTGAGTATGTGTGGGTGAAAGAGAGAGAGAGAGAAAGAGAGAGAGTGTGTGACAGAGAATGTGTGTGTGTGTGAGAGAGAGGGAGGGAGGGAGGGAGAGAGAATGTGTGGGGGGGGTTTGAGAGTGTGTGACAGAGAATATGTATGTGTGTGTGTGTGTGTGTGTGTGTGTGTGTGTGTGTGAGAGAGAGAGAGAGAGAGAGAGAAAAAGAGAGAGGGAGGGAGGGAGGGAGAGAGAGTGTGTGTGGGGGGTGTTTGACAGTGTGTGTGTGAGAGAACATGTATGGGTGAGTATGTGTGGGTGAAAGAGAGAGAGAGAGAAAGAGAGAGAGTGTGTGACAGAGAATGTGTGTGTGTGTGTGTGAGAGAGAGAGAGAGAGGGAGGGAGGGAGAGAATATGTGTGTGTGGGGGTGTTTGAGAGTGTGTGACAGAGAATATGTATGTGTGTGAGAGAGAATATATATGGGGGGGTGTTTGAGAGTGTGTGACAGAGAATATGTATGTGTGTGTGTGTGTGTGTGTGTGTGTGTGAGAGAGAGAGAGAGAGAGGGAGAGGGAGGGAGAGAGAATATGTGTGTGTGAGAGTATGAGTGTGTGTGTGTGTGTGTGAGTGTGAAAGAGAGAAAGAGAGAGAGAATTGTGTGGGGGTGTTGTTAGAGCGGGGGTGTATTTCTGGCTTTGTATCCCGTCACCAGAAAATCAGAGAAACAAAACAATGAAGCAGGAAGGCCTTGGAGTCAGGAAACCTGCGTCTGAACTCTGGATCAACCACTATGGACCTTGGCAAGTGACCTTAGGCAGCTAGCTGGGTCTGTGGAGTCAGGAAGACCTGAGATCCTGCCTGGAGGAACCTTGTGATTCTGGGCAGATCCTTTCACCTCTACCAAGTCGAATTAACAAGCATTTATTAAGCACCTACTGCATGTTGGGCACTGTGCTTATCCTGGGGATATCAAGGCAAAAACCAGTCCCTGCCTTTGTTGTCGTTGTGTGTTTGTCTTTCATTCTCAAAGAGGACCGTGACATCGGGGAGGTGATGCCACCTGGATTTAAGTGAGGCAGGGCTGTGCAAGGTCACCAGCCTCACTTTCTCCTCCGGAGCCAGCTGGGCCCAGTGGTCAAATATGGATCAGGATGACTGGAGAGGGCCCCTGATGCAGTGGGGAACCTTGGCCTTTTCAAGATAAGGTCTTTAACAGGTCTCAGTTTGACTGAGGCAAGGCCCATTCAGTGATTAAGGCTGGGCAATGCCTATGCAGGATAAACTGGAGATAATCTCAGAGGGAAGATGTTAGCATTAAAGAAGATCTGGAAAGACTTCCTGTAGAAGGCAAGATTTTACCTGAGGCTTAGCTGTCTACCTCAGTTTCTTCATCTGTAAAATGGCATTAATAATAGTACCCACCTCCCAGGATGGTTGTGAGGATAAAGTGAGGTAATTGTAAAGAGCTTGGCAAACCTGAAAATGCTGTATAAATTCAAGCTATTACTCAGCATCTCTAGGCTTCATTTATTCCTCCATAAAAAGGAAATGACAACATACATAGAATCTAGGACCCAGAACAAAGGCTCTGAGTCCATTTTGGAGGCCTCTCACATACCATCATCTTTGTTAACTCCCTCACCCTGGGAATGTCAGAATGTGGCTGGAGCCAAGACCTCCACAAAAAAAGATAAAGGGCCTTCAGCTCCCATGCAAACACTCAAGCTAACAAAACATCAAATAGAGGACATTTATCCTGACCCAGAAAAAAAAAAGCCATCGAATATTTGAACCCAAGCTCATGAAAAGGCAGAGCACCTGTCTTTTCCTGCCCAAAGAGCCCCACCCTCTCTGGGGCCTTAGTCCTCTAAACTTATCGTACTACCCAGGTGCCCGTGTATCCTCCAGGCTCAGATCTGGGTCCCCTCCACTCCTCTTCCCTCCCCGCTCCATGGTTATTGAATCATCTTTATGCAGGTGGCTCCAAAACCCACATATCCAGCCCTTACCTCTCTTCTGAATTTCCAGCTTCTTTCTGGACATCTCCACTTGGCTGGATTCCATCTGGATTCAACATATCCAAGACAGAACTTGTTACTTTTCCTCCTAAACCCACCTCTCCTCCTAACTTCTCTCTTTCTGTTGAAGGTGCCACCCAAGGTACCAGCCTAAGAGTCTTCCACCCTCTTTACAAGCTAGGTGTGTTGCGGTATTGGGGGCAGTTAGGTTGCACAGTAGATAGATGGACAGAGTGGATAGAGTGAAGACTTATCTTCATGAGCTCGAATCCAGCCTCAGACATTTACTAGCTGTGCAACCCTGGGTGAGTCACTTAACCCTGTTTGCCTCAGTTTCCTCATTTGCCAAATGAACTAGAGAAGGAAATGGCAAACCACTCCAGTGTATCTGCCAAGAAAACCCCAAATGGGGTCACAGAGAGTCAGTCCTGAAAAGATTCAACAGCTGTTGCAGTAGATGTATTGGACCTGGAGTCAGGAACACCTGAATTCAAATCCAGCTTCAGACACTTACTAGCTGTATGACTCTGGGCAAAAAGTCACTTCAACCTCTGTTTGCCTGTTTTCTTCACTATAAAATGGGGATAATAACAGCATCTACCTCTCAGGGTTGCTTTGAGGAGTGAATGAGGTAATGTTTTGTAGAGCACTTAGCACACAGTAGGGCTATATAGATGCTTAGCCCCTTCTCCCTCCCCCTTTCACTTACCACCCTCCCAGCCAATCAGTAACCAGACCTCATTGATTCTACCTCCTCCACATCTAATTCTCTGTCCTCTTCTCTCCTCCTGCCGCATCCGCTCCAGCCTAGGCTCTCATGACCTCTCACCTGCATTATTTCAATGGCTTCTAACTCAGGCTCCCAGGACCTAGTCTCCTCCTTCTCCAATTCACCCTCTGCCCGGCTGATTGCTATTCATGAAGTAGGAGTCTGACTTTGCCATTTCTCAGTTACAAAAGTTTCAGTGACTCCTCCTTTGCCTTAAGGATGTTATCAAAACAGCTCTGGCATTTAGAGCCCATCATGAACCGACTCTAACCTGTCATTATTACCCCACCTGCACTCTGGGCTCCCACCACACCAGCCTCATTTTTATTCCCCACACAGGGAATCTTATCTCCCGCCCCTAGGCTTTTGTACAAAGCTGATCACCATGCCAGGAGCACCCTCTCTCCTCATCCCTACCCTGGAAGCCCTTCCAAATGTTCCTCTGCAGTGTTATCATTCCTGATTCCCCCTTGTTATTTGTCCCTGTGCCCTCCTCCGTTACTGTGTATTTATTTTGTGTCTCTCCTGTAGTATCTACTTCTCCATGAACAATCTATCTTCTCTGAGTTGGATATGAGCACCTTGAGAACAGACTGTCTCATTGCTATGTTTGTGTGTCTGACCCTTAACACACTATCTAGCTCATTAAGAAAAATGTCTGTTGATCAATTAATAATTAAACTGCAGTGAAGGGCAGAGTTTTGGAAATGTGTAGTTTGTCTTTTGTTCTAGAAGAGGACCATGACATCAGGAAGGTGAGGCTATGACATGCAAGTGAATTGGATTTAAGTGAGGGAGGGCTGTGCAGTCACCAGCCTCACTTTCTGCTCTGGAGCCATCCAATCCCAGTGGCGAGATATAGATCAGGATGACTGGAGATGGCCCAGGATGAAGTGGGGGACCTTGGCCTTTTTAAGCCGAGGTCTTTCCTGGGTCTCAGTTTGACTGGGGCAATGCCCATTCAGTGATTAAGGCTAGGTAAGAAATGAGGCAAGGAATGGCCTCTTTTACCTAGTTAAAAAAAAATCATAATACCTTTGGGAAATAAAGCTCATTACATAACCATAGCCCAGGCTATTAGGTCTAGACAGACTATAGACCAATTAGGAGAATCAGGGAAGGGGCTGGAGGCTGTGGAATTTTTTATAGAGACAGACAAAGGCAGTCAGAGCCTCTTAGAAATGCACCAATGCAGGGAGTACAGCAGTCAGACTGGATAAGGATAATGAGAGTGGGGGTGGAGGGGCAGAAGTACCGGGGTGGCAGGGGCTGCATTCCTGGCTTCCTCAGTCATTCTAGCTGTTGCTGTCCACCTGGCTCCCCTCCTCCCTGTGGAGTGTGGAGGCTGGCTAGACCAGCCTGCATCAATCTCAGGAGTCTCACCCCTTACTCAGCACTGCCCTCGTGGCAGCTCTAATCTTAGTCCAGAAAGCTTTTACCAGGTCCCTGCTGCCATCTCCAGGGCCTTATGCTTCCCTGGACCAGCTGTGGGGAAGCTTTCCCTCCACGAGGAACTAAGGTCCCAGAGTCACATTCTCTGAACTAGAAGGAACCTCTCAAGTTATTTCCCAGCAAGATGTATCCAAACAAACATTGTGTGGCCACGCATCTGTGATACAGTGGGGAAAAGTGGCTTTTGAAATCAATGAGGATCTGGGTTCAAATCCTGTCTCTGCCATTGTGTGAATTACCTGTGTGATTCTGGGAATCTCCTCTAATCTCTCTGAGCTCTCAGTCTTCCCATCTGTGAATGGGTTGGACTAAATGGACCATAAGATCTGTTCCATCTATGATCCTATATCTGTCTGTTGTGATTTGCCAGCCAACAATGGGTTCACTACTGAGTAGAAGCAGCAGCAGTAAGTTTTGGCAGCCTCAAGGAGGTCTGGTCTGATAGGGAACCCCTGTCCCCTGGGTGCCCTAGGTCTGCCCTGAGGAAGCCCCTGTGCTGAAGGGGAGGTACAGCCCCTGCTCTCAGCCAGTCCCTGGTGGGAAGGGGAAGGGACAGTCACTCAGGGATGAACAATCTCCTATATAATGCTATGAACTCCTGTAGTCCCTGGGGGGATAGGGAAGGCAGAGAGCCCTCCTCTCCTGAGTGAGAGAAGGGTAAGGCTCAGCAAGTAGATAGAATCCCTTGGGAGAAGAAGCAGAGGGACTGACCCTCAGTCAATGGGAGGTGGAAGGGACTTGGGACTTGATGGGGAGAGAAGAGCGGGAGGGGCTGCTCCCCACTGAAAAAGAGAAAGTGCCACGGATTGGAAAATCAGAAAAGGAAAGGGAGGCACCCAGCAGGGCTGCTATTGTTGTCGTGAATGAATTAAAATTGGCTTCTCCTTGAAAACCAAACAAGCAAACAAATAAATGAGCATTATTCTGGGTACGGAATTTTACTGCCTAAAGGGCCGCAAGGGTGATTAGGAAGGTCTGTGAGCCTAGGAGAGCTGTGGGCACCAGTGCTTGACCCCTGGAGGGGAGGGGGGAGAGGAAGAAGGGATGTGGTGGCGGGGACGGAGGGATTCATTTAATAAGAAGATCTGACCTTGCCACATTCTCTCCCCTTCCCCAATTTCCCCAGTTACTCCTGGGGAGTTTCGGAGCTGGAGGAAGCCTGGGGTGGGGCGGGGCTGGGGAGGAACAGGTTTCTTCAATCCTTTCTTTTTCCTCCTCTTGATCCCCCCTCCAGCATCATCTGCTCTTCTTTTCCCTCCGGGGTCCGACTCACAACAGAGCTGCTGGAGCTGTGAAGAGGCTGAGGCGTTGAAAGGGAATCACCAGACAATGGGGAAAAGCTTATTTAACCAGGAAGAGGATAAGGCTAGGGGGAAGAGAGAGGATCTGGGGGGAGGGGGGGAGCGGGGTTCTGAGTGAGTCATCCAGACTCTTTGTCATTAGCCATAGATCTTTTTGGAATTGTGAAGCACCGTAGCTCTGCATACAGAAATGCGGAAAGGGGGCCGGTAATCTGCAAGGCTGTTCTTTCAGTCAATTAGGAATATCCCACATTGAGCCCCTCCAGGAATACAGATGGGGAGTGGGGTGGAATTGAGAGGCTCAGGTCTGAGAGGGGGGAGACCTAGCTCCCGCCTTCATGGAGCCCCTGGTCTGATGGCGGGGGACACAGCCCCTGCCCTTGGAGAGCCCCTTATCTAATGGGGGGGGAGACACAACCCCTGCCCTTGGAGAGCCCCTTATGTAATGGGGGGGGAGATACAGCCCCTGCCCTTGGAGAGCCCCTTATCTAATGGGGGGGACACAGCCCCTGCCCTCAGGGACCCCTTTATCTGATGGAGAGGACATAGTCCCTGCTCTTGGGGAGCCTCTAGTCTGATGGGGGTAGGGAGAAATAGCCTTTGCCCTCAAGCAGTCTCTTGCCTAATAGGGAAATAAGACAGAATGTTGGAACTGGAATGGACCTTAAAGATGATCAGATCCAACTCTCTCCTTTTACAGATGAGGAAACTGAGGCCCAGAGAAGTGAAGTGGCTTGCCCAAAGATTCCAGGGCCAGTTAATGCCAGTGCCTTGGCTCCCAAATCCAACTTTGATGTGCTGGGCACTGCTTCTCTGGTAAGTCCAAGCCTGAGGCAGGAGATGACATCATGAAAAGGATGGCCCAGGATTTACATAGCTGATTTCCACATCTAGACACTAGAGCCAGGACCTAGTCAGAGCTGGAGGAATCAGATGCCCTGGGAGTGTCCATTGTGAGGAGTGACTTTGTTCCCCTTGGAGGTAAGTGACAAAGGCTGAAGTTCCAGATGGGTGCTGAGTAATTACCAGATGGAATGACAGATCCAGACTGAGCTCTTAGGGGAATCTTCATACATTTGTTTCATAGAGTTGAAAAGTGCTTTAGAGCTTGCCTTGTAGAATCTATGGCCTCTCACACACGTGAGCCCTCCATACCTATCTGAGGTTTGAAGTTACTTTGTGCCTCAGTATCCATTCAAAAATGCCTATGAGCCCCCACTGATATTTGCTTTTACTAGACCAGCCAAAAGACAGGTTAGCTCAAAGCAAAAGACATTTCATCAAAGAACATTGTGAAATAAGCGAAACGATCCCCCCAGCACAAAGAGGTACATTCTCCCACAGGTTATCACACTGTCTGGGCGGAGACACATGCAGTAAACATATATGACCAGGGTACATGCTTGATGGGACACACATGTGTTAGGAGCAGTTCATGACTCCCAAGCGTCTGTGCTGCCTGTTTCGTGTGGTGATGTCACTGAACAAACTGCTCCCTCCCCTGAGCTAGGGTGCTCTGCTGCTCATCTCTCTGCTGCTGGCTGGTGCCAAAGGCTGGTCTGAGCTACTCTGTGGCTTCCTCTCCACAGGGTGGTCTGGGTCGGGGAGAGAGGAGGGGCTGCCAGCTCTTTAGTCCGTAGCCCAGGGGCTATCCTTAGCTTTGTCAGGAAGTAGGCACTACTGGGGCATTCGCCCAGACAGCTAGCAAGTGGAGCCCTTAGGCAATTTTAAAAGCTGGTCCTTTTATCCTTTGGTCCTATTTTAATCTCTTAGTCAGACTCTCACCTGAATTCTAGTCAGAAAGTTCCTTTTAATTCCTATTATTCCTGAGCTCTGACAACTCACTCCTAGAGCCTCCATTTAGCAAAACTGCGAAGAAGAAGCTGGCCAAGCTGTGGACACTCCTCTCTAGCACCCTTAAGCTCCTTGGGTTCCATGCAAATCACAGGAGTTGGGTTAGATGGTTAAAGACCAAAAGGGCTGGTGACTTTCATCTTACTCCCCACTCCCCACCCACACCCCCCAAGCATCACCAAAATAGCTGTTTTTCTACAGAATAATCCACTGGTTCCCAACCTTGGACCATGGATCCTGCAGTTATTGCAAGAGGTGCTTGAAACCATATGCATACCAGGTATGGTCCTTTTTATCTGTAGAACACATAAATAACACATCTTGCACATGTCTGTAGATGACTTTTTCAAATGTATGTAGATGCTTAAGAAAATTCCAATTCCTTTAAAGGCTTTGCTAAGTTCCTAGAAGCTTTTTGTTTGCATGTCTCTTGATCGGTGGATAGCAATAGTATAATTACTTTCACATGAGGCAGTTAGGTGGTGCAGTGGATAGAGTGCCAGCCCAGGAGTCAGGAGGACCTGAGTTTAAATCCTACCTTAGACACTAGCAGGTAGGTGGGTGCAGTAGATAGAAAATGGGGCTTGGAATCAGGAAAACTCATCTTCATGAATTCAAATCAGGTCTCTAACACCCGCTAGCTGTGTGAGTCTAGAGAAGGCACTTAATCCTGTTTGCCTCAGTTTCCTCATCTGTAAAATGAGCTGGAGAAGGAAATGGCAAACCATTCCAGTGTCTTTGCCAAGAAAACCCCAAATGGGGGTCACAAAAAGTTGGATACACCGAACAAAAAGAATTCTCATATATGGGGTTCAAGAAATTTTTTTTTTTGGCTAGGCAATGGGGTTAGGTGATTTGCCCAGGGTCACACAGGTAGTAAGGGTTATGTGTCTGAGGCCAGATTTGAACTCAGGTCTTCCTGAATCCAAGGCCGGTGCTCCATCTGTTGCACCACCTACCTGCCCCTCAAGAAATTTTTTGATTTGCCTCCTAATTGGTCTCTGTGCTTCAAGTCTGATCTCTCATTATCCATCTTTCACACAGCTGCCAAAATGATTTTCTAAAATGCAGATTTGACCATGTCACTCCCCTACTCAATAAACTTCAGTGGATCCCTATTGCCTCTAGGATCAAATATGAATGTCTTTATTTAGCATTTAATGCTCTTCTTAACCTGGCCCCAACCTACCGTTCTGGTCTTACTATACATCACCCTGCCCCCTTCACTCACACTCCCTTGGGCCAACCCAACTGACCTTTTATCTGTTCTTCATATGAAGTGCAATCTCCAATCTGCATGTCTCTGCACAGACTCTCCTCCATGCATGGGATGCACTGTTTGCCTCAGTTTCCTCATCTGTCAAATGAGCTGGAGAAGGAAATGGCAAACCACTCCAGGATCTTTGCCCAGAAAACCCCAAATGGGATCACCAAGAGTCAGATAGGACTGAGAAATGACTCGACAGCATCCCCCCACCCAGGGTAGAATGTAAACACCTTGAAAGCAGGGGCTGTATTCTGTTTTCTCCAATACCTCCCATAGTGCCGGGTATATGTACGCACTGAATAAATGCTTTTTGGGATTGACATAAACCTTGCCTCAGTCACCCCTAACTGTCAGGAGAATGAGCAGGTCAGCAGTCAGTCAGAAGAGACTTATTGGATGGGATGAGTTTGAGACTGAGAGAGGCCACGGAAAAGCGTAAAGCTTCACTCACATGGGAACTTTTGGAAGCCCCAGAGCCCTGGAGGGGAGCTGTTTTGTCTCCTCATACGTTGGCTCTCCTCCACATTCAGAATTTCCTGCAAGCCTCAGCCTTCCCTCCTTCTCAGACCAAACCCCGTTTTATGCCAACAGCCCTTCCAGGCTCTCTCTGCTCGTCAGACAGCCAGGACTTTGGGTTCCTGGATTCTGGTAACAGTCTCCATTCATCATAAGCATTAGGCTGAAGGGACATGGCATCAGAGAAAAATTGATTAACCCAGAAATATCTTGCCCTTCCAGACACATGACTTCCCAGCAGGGAAGTGCTGAGGGTGCAGCCAGTGAAGCCACAAGTAAGGGCTAAGTGCAAAAGAGGAGGGGGTGGTGGTGTTGGGGAGGGGCTAGCTCTGAGGCTCTGAAAATGTGGACAAGAATTTCTCTGGTTCACTCAGTGGATTAAATACAGAATGAAGGTTCAGGGCAAGAAAGATCGACTCAGGGTTGTCACCCCTGGCTTTGGTGCCGAGGAATTCGGCAATAGGGGTGGGGAGATCCATTGGAAGGAGGGGTGCTTAGCACTGGGACATGGTCTCAGTGCCGGTCATGGAAGTATCATGTCAGGGACGGTCACTAAGTGCCCAGAATTGGTGACCAATTGCTTGACTGATTCCCGTGGGTGGAATCTCAGTGCTGGAGCCTGAAATTGAGCACCAGGGATAGAGCCTCACAGTCAGGGGTGGGGAAATCAGAGACAGAGAACAGGGCTCAGTGCTGGAGATGGGGACTCCGTTGCAGGGATGCTGGCTTGTTGCTGTAGAGGGGAACCTGAAGGATCATGAGAGGAGCTAGTGTCAGAAACTGGTTCTCTGTGCTGAGGGCCAGTGAGTGGCTCATGGAGTAGGGACTTTGTGCTGGGGCTATATCAGAGATACAGGCTTAACGTCTGAAATGGGGGCCCTGAACTGGGAAGGTAGCTCAGTGCTAGGGATGTGAGATTGATGTCAAATCAATTTATTTCCAAAAAAATAGCCTATTATTAAGTAAATCAATGTCAGTGGAAGGTGCCCATTTCTCAGGAGGGGGTCTGAATTACAGGTGTGGAAGCACAGTGAAAGAGTCAGGGCTCACTGCCAAGGACAGGAGCTCAGTGTCAGGGATAGATTCCAGTTATGAGGATGGAAATTCAATGTCAGAGATGGAGACTTACTGTCTGGTGGGGGTGGAACACTCAGTGCTGAGGATGAGGGCTCAGCGTCAGGGATGGGGACCTTTATCTGGTTATGGTAATCCAGTGACAGAGATGGAAGCTTATGTTCTGGAGAGGGAATGCATCTTGGGCATGAATGGGGCTTAGTAGTATAGATGTGAGTCAAGATTGAGGG